ATTCCTGCTTTTGGTAGTGAACTTGTTTACCACACGCCATCTGAGCTCCGGGTGCTTAGATCAGCAACTTGCAAAGCATTGGGCCGATCACGTGCTGGAAACAATCCTTATTTATCCACACTCGTCACGGAGGGTATTGACGATGTTGCAGTGTCTCTCTTGCGGCGTAAGGTGTCATTTTGGCGAAGATTCTTGAAAATTTTTCCGCTTTGTGCAGAGGATTTTTTGAAATCACTGGCGGAGGGTCGAAACCAGAATGGAGTGACTGCCTTTCTTCGTAGGAGCTTCAATGATCAGGGCTGGACATGTCGTGCTGATGGTGAGATTGAGCATTATCGCGGATGGAGATTGAACTGGTTGCGAGATAGCAAGTGTCATGTACGTAAGCTCCTTAGCTTGGCCTGGACTGCCCATGTTTGCCAACAGGTTCAACATAGGCCAAACTTTTGTGTGCCTTGTGTAGACATTCCTGCGTTTCATCGGGCTATTCATGATCTTGAGGGACCAGCCAAAACTGATGTCTTGAATCTTGCTACTGGCAAGCACGTTACCAATGATGCTCTTGTTCATTACTGAAAGGGAGTCAAAACCAACGTCCTTTTTGTTCAATGAAAGATGGTCGGATGCATCGTGTCTTTCACTGTCAGCATACGGCAAAATTCCGAGAGGAACATAAGGAAACTATGGCTTGGCTTTGTGAGCAAGAAACTTGTGTCCCAGCATGGGGCCTGCTGCCTTGTGAATTGGATTGGGCGGATTGGAGGTTTGAAAATCCAGCGGTTTTCCCAATTTTAGCCACGCCAGGGTACACTGATGAGGTGCATGTTGATGTATTCACAGATGGGAGTGCGGTTGGTCAAGGGATTACTGGTTTTACGGTTGCAGCTGCCTCTTTTGTCCACTGCGAGGGGTATACTGTTGTAAACCAAGATGCCATGCCATTGCCTGGAAATGACCACTCAGCTTATCGTGCCGAGGTATGGGGGGTCATTCTTGCCCTCTCAAGATATCGTTTTGTGCACATTTACACTGACTGCTCTAGTGTGATCAACAATCTTGCAGCGGCCCTTTCCGCAAAGAGGTCTCGCTCTATGCCCAAATTCAGTGATCATGAGGATTTATGGGGAATTGCTTGGAGATTAATTTCCGAACGTGAAGTTGAAGCTGTGATTGTCACAAAGGTTAAAGCACATCAAAATGTCAAGAACATCTCTGATCCCACGCTGCGTTGGATGGCGTATATGAACAACAAGGCGGATGTTTTGGCCAAAAAATGTATTCGCAAGCATTGGGGCCTTGAGCTGGATGCCGTTGTTGATCGCTTGAAAACCAGAGAGGCTGACATTGCTTTCTTGAAGGATTTTCACTGCATGTGGAGAGATATCAATGCTGATGCGCTTGACAAGTGCAAGAATGAAAGGGTGAAAAGCAAAGTTGTTGCGCCTGCTTTCAGACTGGTTTTTGACCCGAGCCAAGCTGTGCGTAGGAGTTGCAAGGTACCTGAAGTAGCAGTACAATCATGTGTTTACACTGCTGTCTTTGCTGAGCGGGTTGTTCACTACTTTGATGGGTTGGAATGGGACTTCTCGCAGCCGGCAGTTAGTATGCTTGAACTGTATGTGGACTTTGTCTTGTCAAGTGGCACAGTTGCTCCATGTCTTATTCACAAGGGTGAGCGTGGGCCCCAGGGACCTGTTAGGTCTTACTGTTTGCCTGACCTTGATCCTGAAGCAGATGTCCAGCAGAACACTTTGCGTGAACAAAGCCGAGTGTGGTCCAAAGTCTTAGCGTGGCTTAGAAAGCATGCTGATGATGCACCTGAAAAGCCTTCACTTGGTTGTAAAAGCCTGACGAAGTATGGCTATTCCCAACAGCACTATGGGGTAGCTGGCTGTCCCAAGTTTCGGAGTGGCATGCGAGTGCTTCACGTTTTGTGGAGTTATTTCAACACTGCAAATGGGACGGTTTCCAATATGAACAGAAGGTTGCAGATCCACCGACATGCGTTTGGAGGTGGGTAATTCTAGGTTTTTTGTTGCTAGGTGCCCTCTTGTCAGAGTGTACTGTTTTGTCCAGTTTTGTCTGCCCCCTGTTTCCAACACAGGGTGTACCGCCAGATGTGTCATTGCGTCACCATGACACGATAATTAATGGCTAGGTGCATGCGCATTCGGCCTGTCGCATCCGTAGTATCATTCCATCTGTGTCTTGCTTGATCCATAGGATTTTTTTCAGCGAGCCCGATCAACAATTTCACTGTTGTAACGCAATATGCTGTGCAACATCGAAGCCGAACTAAGGTGTGCGAGAGCAAAGGTCCAAAAGTTCCATCCTACCCTAAAATACCCAGCTGCCCCAAAAATACCCAGCTCTGTCGACAGGACATAGGACAGCATGGGACCACTATAAAATGGAAAACTATCTCCATCCCACCCAAAAAAATACCCAGCTGCCCCAAAATACCCAGCTCCGTCGATACCAGTCTTTTTGTCGACATCCCTTGGCTTTTGGGACATGGGACAGCATGGGACCAATGGAAAACTACCAGAAAATAAGTCTTGGTCTTTGTGTCAGCATCCCTTGGCTTTGGGACGTGCCGGGCTAAAGAAAAATGTGGTGTCTTTGGGGCGATGATGGTGGGAGGATGTGGGAAGGCTGCGGCACTATAAAATGGAAACCCCCAACCCCAGAAAATCCTACCAGGAAGGGCATGTAATCTCTATAAAATCAGAGCACCCAACCCCTCAAAAAACCATTCATTTTTGGATGTTGTAAGATACAGGGGGTTGGGGGTTCCTATTCTATAGTAGAAAGTTGGCTAGTTCCTTCATTTTAAGGCTAGGCTCCAGGGTACGTTGGGGCCTCCCATTTTATAGTGATGGAGGGTTTTGCAGTAAATTTGTAGCTGTAAATATTTGCTTTTTCAAATAATTTTCTTATTTTATAGAGGTGCACCTGTTTTGTGACCTTGGGTGTTTCCATTTTATAGAGGTCCCACTCCGGGGGGGGATGGGTGCCCCCGTTTTAGTACTATAAAATGGGGGCACCCAACCCCCCCACTTAATCTAGTAGGGGATGTGAAAAGTATATGGGTGAAAAGTATGTGCAAGAAGAGTTTCTGGGTGAAGAGTCTCTGGGTGAAAAAATATGTGCAAGAAAAGTTTCTAGGTGAAGAGTCTGTGGGTGAAAAGTATATTGGTGAAAAGTATGTGCAAGAAGAGTTTCTGGGTGAAGAGTCTCTGGGTGAAAAGTATATGGGTGAAAAGTATGTGCAAGAAGAGTTTCTGGGTGAAGAGTCTCTGGGTGAAAAGTATATGGGTGAAAAGTAAAATTGAGGCTCCGATGTGGGACCATTATATGTGCAAGAAGAGTTTCTGGGTGAAGAGTCTCTAGGTGAAAAGTATATGGTGAAAAGTGCAAGAAGAGTTTCTGGGTGAAGAGTCTCTGGGTGAAAAGTATGTGCAAGAAGAGTTTCTGGGTGAAGAGTCTCTGGGTGAAAAGTATATGGGTGAAAAGTATGTGCAAGAAGAGTCTTTGGGTGAAAGTATATGGGTGAAAAATATGTGCAAGAGAAAGTTTCTAGGTGAAGAGTCTCTGGGTGAAAAGGGTGAAAAGTATGTGCAAGAAGAGTTTCTGGGTGAAGAGTCTCTGGGTGAAAAGTATATGGGTGAAAAGTATGTGCAAGAAGAGTTTTTGGGTGAAGAGTCTCTGGGTGAAAAGTATATGGGTGAAAAGTATGTGCAAGAAGAGTTTCTGGGTGAAGAGTTTCTGGGTGAAAAGTATCTGGGTGAAAAGTATGTGCAAGAAGAGTTTCTGGGTGAAGAGTCTCTGGGTGAAAAGTATATGGGTGAAAAGTATGTGCAAGAAGAGTTTCTAGGTGAAGAGTCTCTGGGTGAAAAGTATATGGGTAAAAAGTATATGGGTGAAAAGTATGTGCACGAAGAGTTTCTGGTTGAAGAGTCTCTCGGTGAAAAGTCTGTGCAAGAAGAGTTTCTGGGTGAAGAATCTCTGGGTGAAAAGTATATGGGTGACATGTATGTGCAAGAAGAGTTTCTGGTGAAGAGTCTCTGGGTGAAAAGTATCTGGTTGAAAAGTATGTGCAAGAAGAGTTTCTGGGTGAAGTCTCTGGGTAAAAAGTATATATGGGTGAAAAGTATGTGCAAGAAGAGTTTCTGGGTGAAGAGTCTCTGGGTGAAAAGTCTGTGCAAGAAGAGTTTCTGGGTGAAGAATCTCCGGGTGAAAAGTATATGGGCGAAAAGTATGTGCAAGAAAAAAAATTGGGTGAAGAGTCCCTTTGTGAAAAGTATATGGGTCAAAAGTCTGTGCAAGAAGAGTTTCTGGGTGAAAAATCTCTGGGTGAAAAGTATATGGGTGAAATGTATTGAAGAGTCGCTGGGTGAAAAGTATGGTGGAAAATAGGGGTAGATGGGATGCTGGCTTTCGTTCCCCCCTTCTCAGGTTTCTTTTTTTGGCAAAAAGGCGCAAGACAGATTGTACTGTACAACAAAACATCCCAAGTCCTCAGTAGCCTTAGAAACAAACCAGCAACGAATACCAACAAGCGCTGTGGTTGATCGATTCAGTTTCATTGTTTCGGAATTCAGTGGTTTGAACGCATTTTGAACTGGTGGCTTGTGGGATCTACTTGCTGCATTTTGATGCTGCATAGTGGGGGAAGGGTCGGTCACTGCGATCATGCGCCTTGGTGCATGGAGACCAATTTTTTGTCCCCGCTTCAGCTGCGTCTCCTTGAGACCATGTGAAACAAAGGCAATGTAACCAACGGGATGTATTTAAAAGTCAATCTTTTGAATTTCAGAGATTGGCCCATGATTCCACCTTTTGAGGGTACTGCATAATGCTTTTTGAATTCCTTTCCAATTTCATTTGCTGCATTTGTTGGTCGCTCCCCGTCGAAGGAGGCTTTCCGAATTGAAGATACTGCAGAGCGAGGGATCACTCGCGAGCAATTGGCAAAGATCGTTGTTTTCATCTCCAAGATGGCTGACAGATGGTGCGAGACTTTCGGAGAACAGCGTGGGACAAGGCTGCAGTTTGAGACCTTCAACTTGTATCATGCGAATCATTGGATCATCAAACCAGCCACCGAAGCCTTGATTTGTTGATGATGTGACAACATTTTCCAATTTGAAGAATCTACCGTTTTTCTTTTTCTTTTGATGGCAACATTATGCAGAATCCCAGGACGGCTATGCGAAAAAGGGCTGCAGCATGGTTGAGATCATGGCGATTCAAGTGCAGAGACCTCAGTGGTTTGTGTCACATGCTTGGAGCGAGCCTTGGCTGATAGGTAACTTTCAAGGTTGTTCGAGACCGTGCTATTGCGTTTCTTTCAACAACAAGTAATTCATTCTTCTTTCCACCAATAATACAACCTCCGCTTGAAATCCTTGCTTAGTATTGGACCTGTTCACTTTTGTGCCCCAGATGAGGTGATTTATGAAAATGAAGCGTAACAACACAGGAACTTCAGGAAACGTCAATCTTTTCGTTTGAAACATGCCTAAAATATTGTTGAACAGATCCGCGAGGAACCAGTGTGCAAGTTTCTGGCCTGCTTGGAGCAGCATGCTCTGGTGCGAGAATTGTCAAGCAGTACGTTCTATTGGGTCTGTGCTTATGCCAACAACCAACACTCTGTGGATGAAGACATCAAAATAAACCCGCGCAGCACATCTTTCTACAGGGCCATGCAGATGTCTGAGGGAGTTCTCTTGGTGCTGGATTCGGCTGGAAGGCCTTTCGAAAGGATTTGGTGCTGCTTCGAGGAGGCCATTGTTGCAGCCTTAGATCCAGGAAGTGCAGGAAAGCATCATAGAGATGTTTACAATTGTAAACGAATGTGACATGATGAGCCTAGGGTGACTTTTCCCGCGATTTCCGAATAGTTTCAGTAACATGATAGCAACCTCGCGAACCACTCCGCCATAAACTCATCACAACTTTCTTTTGAAGAGGTGCGTGTCAGTGTGTGTATCAAGAGATGGACATGTTTGGATTTGACCAAATAGCTTGCTTCAATTTTAAACACGACATGCGATGAAACGGCTCGATCAATTTTTGCATATACGAATTGCAGAAAACAAACTGCAGCAACACCAGGTTTGGCTCGTAAAGGCAGACAATTCTTCAGTAGATATCATATTATACTATAAAAAAAAGGATCGAAGCAGGCGCTGGTGTAAGCAATTCCGGGATTCGCAGCTTGAAGCAACCGAGGCGATTGAACACCGAGAGGGCAACTGGTCCAGGCGACGTTTGCTGCTTGATGTGGGCGCCACTGACACACATGACAAAGCTACTGGGTACAGCAATGGCCACCTTGGACATTTCCTTTGCCTGATTTGCTAGAAAGGTTGAGACCATCATCTTACCAACCATTTCTGCACTCTTTTGAATCTTTCTCCTTTCACATCACCTCCCTTTCACACCTTTTTTTTTAACGTTGTTTTGCATCTGTGCAGAGCCGTGACAAACCTGTTTTGACCCGTGTTAAACTTGTTGATCTCTGACTCTGAGGCTCATGTACTTACTGATGGACTTGCCGGAGCTGAAAGTCGAATGATTGGCATCATTGGCTTGCACCACAAAGCAGCTCGCGAGCGTCACTTTCCTCTGGACCTTTTGGAAAAGGGCTTGAAGGTCAAAATCGAAGAAACTTGGTGGATTGCTTGTAGAGCCCTGTTGTGATGTTGCTTGTTGTTGCCATTTAAAGTAATTATTTATACCTATTTTTTCAGTTGGATCATTGATGGAATGGACAAGGTGCATGTTCCATTGTTCGATTTCATTTCTTTTTTGCATGGAACAGGGTATGTACCGACATTAATATAGTAATCATGTATATACATTGGCTGATTCTAAGTTCTCTCTTGATCCAGAAAGTGAGCCACGATAAAAGTGAACGCTGGACAGCTCAAGGATGCTCATGTCACCGAGAATATTGACAAAGTTCGGATTCTGAACAGCATTGCTCTTTCTCGTCTTGGAACTTGCGACTTGGAGCATGTGCAGTCGTACCCCACTGGGGATCCCAATTTCCAGCGAGTAGATGAAGCTCTTCATTCGCATTTTGCTTTAGCCAGCTGGTACGGATTTGTCCTTCAAGGAAGATGCACTGAACTCCTGGCCAGAGCTGTAAAGGCAGACGTTGGTAGAAAGATAGTGCAGCTTTCACTGACTGGGTGCCAGAATTTCTTTGACCATGAGCTCAATGTGCTGATCCAAAGCCTTCCTTCAGAGTTGCGCGTTTTGCGATTAGATCTGGGATTCTCGGGTCTTGAGACTCTGGACATGTTTACATCGACGGTGCAGTGTTTGAAGTCTTTGGTCCAGTTGAAGTTGCGCTTCACAGGTTCCGAACACTTCAGGACTGCGGCAGGGCTTGGAGTTGCCATGAGAGAAATGGACAACCTCATGTACTTGGAGCTATGGTGCGCTGAGTTGTGAATTTCCAGTCACATTTTTCTTCATCTTGAACCAGCAAAAAATATGATTTTCAGCTTATTGTTTGCTGCGCTTTCAAAGCTTTCTTTTTGATTCCATGGACATGATATTGTTATTTTGATTTTTCTCAGCTGCCACGGTCCAGTGGCTGCAGGTTCATGAACTTGCCATGTTTGTAAGAATTCGGATGCTTCAGTTCTGCTTTGCAGTCTTCTCGAAACCTGGAGAGTTTAGTCATTGATCTCAGTGGATGTGGCCAGGTGTCGATTGATGCAAGGATGGAACTTCACCAATCCATCAAGTCACTGAAATGGTTGCGAGGGGGCTTGGACACTTGGGTGAACATTGAAGGTTTGCCAAAGCGAGAATGGTTTGCTCGATTTGCTCCTGTTGATTTTGGCGGTGTCATCAAAGGGCGTTGCACCCGGAGCTTCCGTTTCATCTGGCAACGTATGCGACAACTCAGTGCCCGCCAGCTGCCACACGTCAGCTCAGTGTACTTTGAGCCAACCAGGTTTGGCAGGTCCAGCGCCACAAGCAGTGATGAATCAGCTGGAGAAGATGCAGAGACAGAGATTCACAGCACTCCACAGGAGATGTTTGATGAAAACAAACCGTTCCCATGCAGCCATCCTTCATGTCATTCTTTTCACTCTTCTGAGAGCGGTTATTGTGAAAGGCACCACTGGTCGGGCCTTGGCAGAAGGATTTGTGTTGCGGGAAATGCTTGGCGCCAGAATGTGGAGCTTAGTGTGCTGATTCTTGCACAAGCAGTGGCAGAGGTAGAGAGCCGATTTTTGTTGGTTCTTCTGGTTCTCAGCCTGTTGCCTGTTGCAAGTTATAGCTTGTCTCAGTCAACAGGAGTGTCTGGCACGTTGATTTTTCTGATTGTTATCTCAACAGCAATTGTCAGCATTGTTTACACCACAGCTCGGCTCAACCGAATGCAAACATTGTCAAAGAAGCTTGAAGTTGAATCGGAAGCTTTGTACGCAAAGAATTTGCAGAATGACATGTCCAGGCTTTTTGGTGATTGGGGTAGAGACGATATTGCCCAGCGTCAAGTCACAAGCTTGACGGAACACTTCATCGAAGCCAGAAATCATCTTGATGACTTCGACAAGAATCTGTGCCTTCCACCGCGAGAGTTCTTGGAGGAGCAGCCTGGTTCCATGTCACGGCAAGATTTGCGGCCCGTACTGATGACAGTGCCAGTGGCACAAGAGGCTGTTGTGCGAGAAGGTGAGCCCAGTCGAATCCTAGATCTCTTGTATTGCGATGTAATCTTCGATGATTGGGAAAGAATGCTCAGTGCGTGGTGCTTTCTCAAAACCAGAGCAGAGCATGATGAGTTGCGAGAAATGGAGATTGTGCGTACTCGCGATTCTTTTGCTTCAGTCCAAGCTGGTGTCAGATGTGCCGAGATGGTGGTCAAGATCAACGACTATTTAGCCACGATCCGTTTCCGTGAAGCCTCCTTGACAAAGCTGGAGAATCAAGTGGATGATGTGCACCACTTGGCAGAACAGGTCGGACTTCTGGCAGGCAGTTTGCAAGTAGATCCTTTGCTTATGTCTGGGCGACCAGCACAGCAATCACGATTGGTGGTCGGTGTTGTTGCTTTGCTTCGGATCAGCTCATTGCTTGCAGCAGTGTACCTTGGGGGGCAGTACTTTGTGCGGTATAGTCCACCCTTCATCCGTTCAAACCTTCCAAAGCTGATTCGAGATGCTTTTGCTCTCAAGCAGACAGTTGAGCCCAGTGGTGGGAGATTGCTGGAGGTTACCACTTCTGATTCTGGAGGATGGTTGGAGGAGAGCCTTTCGCAGCTGTTGCCTTCCATTGTTTTCTCTTTGCCGTACCTGGCCTTGATCATGGTCCTCCTGAGCGACTTGCGCCGGTGTCGGTCAGCCAATATCAAGTTGAGACCGTTGAAACCCACCCAGCTGCTCTATGAGGAGTATTTTGGCATTGAAGGCAAGCTCTACGGCTTCAAAGTTGCAATGCTGCAGTTATTCACGGTGATGCTGCAGGCCTTTGGAAAGCTCCAAATCATGGGTGGCCTTGTGTCGTTTGCATTTCATTCAGCTCCGAAGCATTCAGGTGCATTCGAAAGATGCTTTTGGACTTTTATGGGTTTCCTGTGTTTGAACAGTATCTATCCATCGATTTTGTTGGCCTTCCCTTCTGTGAAGCGGGTGCGGCGTGGTGCTGCCATGATGGATGCAGTTCTTGATATTGCTTACACCAGCACATACCTCATCATCACGTTGCTGGCCATCCACGAACTACAGCTGGGCCAAGCCATTTCAGGAAATTTCGGGGATGAGGCTTCGGTGAACTTCCAAGCAGAATTGGACCCGGCATTTGCATTCCCATCCGATTTTTTTGGATTCTTTGCTGTCTACTATTCACTTGCACATGTTTGCACAGTTTGCCGTGCCTTAGAGCGAAGCAATCGATCGACCTACTGGAAGAAGTTGCAAAGCTTACCGAACTCTGCTTCCCAGTCGCGGCTGAGCCCATCGAGATTTTCTTGCTCAAAGAGATATCGGATTTGTTGCAAAGCCTTGCATTTTTGCTGCATTGGTTTCGTTATGTCTCGTTTTATGTTGTCTCTGCAATTTTCAATCCATTGTGGTTTCGCAACCTGTTGGACCTGTTGACACAATTTGTCATGTGAGTATCTCGAAGCCCCTCAACATATTTGTACAGAGGAGGCGTCTTGGTGTTCTCAGCTTTACTGTACTTGCTGCATCCTTTTGTTCGTCCTGGAGCATACTAATACAATCTTATACAACACTTCTTAAGTTGTTGTTCCCCAGCATCAACAGCCAAAAAAAAGGATACCTATGATATCTATGTCTTCAATATTAATCCCCCTGAGATTAGGTTTCTGTTTCATCATGGCGCGAGTTTGTGCTGTGCCGGAATGCCCCCCCTTTCATACCATCGGGCTTTGATGGATGAACTCGAGTTCTTTGTTTCTCCTTGCAACCACTGCTTAGGTATTCGCCCTGTTTGCTTGTCACGATCATTGCTCTATTGCTTTCAACGCGCTTCTACCCGATTGACACGACTGATTTTGGATGCTTTCCGTGCCGCTGTCACCAAAAGGATCATGGTGCAAAGCACCTTGCGAGTTGCAGCCTTATAGGCATTCTTCGCCTCAAAGATGTGAGTTTGAGTGAGCAGGACATCACAAGTGTTGCAGAGGATGCCTTCACCTCTTGCCCGGGGTTGAAACGGTTGTCGCTCTCTGCGAATAGGCTGCCTGTTCTGCCTGAGAAGGTCTTCGCCTCTTTGGACCGCTTGCAACTGCTGGACTTGGGCCGTTTGGGTTTGAAGCACTTGGAGTCTGACACATTTGCTGGGTTGTCAAGTTTGAGAATCTTGTCCCTCAGCCAAAATCATTTGAAGGTGCTGCCAGAAGATTTGCTGCGCCCCATGCCAGCTCTGGAGCAATTGTTGCTGGGGGGTAAACGTGATGATCAGTTCGAACGGATCGTTGATGGAAATGAACTGAAAATACTTCCGCAAGAGCTTTTGCAGCACAGCCCGCGGCTACAAGTTCTCGATCTGAGCGAAAACAAGTTGATCTCGCTGCCACACAACGTCCTTGATAAAATTCCTTTGTTGGAGACCCTCGACCTTGGTTCAAACAAGCTGACTGACTTGCCAGGCAAAATCTTTTCAGGGCTCAACAAACTCCAGAAGCTGGACCTGAGATGGAACACTCTCAGTGAGCTACCTGCTGAAGTCTTTTCCGGGCTCATCAACTTGCAGGAGCTGGACTTGTATCAAAACGAGCTCAGTGGGCTGCCTGCTGAAGTCTTTTCAGGACTCAGCAACTTGCGGGAGCTCGACCTAGTAAAGAACAAGCTCAGCGAGTTGCCTGCTGAAGTCTTCTCAGGTCTCAGCAGCTTGCAGAAGCTCAACCTGGGGTACAACTCGCTCACTCGGTTGCATGCGGGAGTCTTTTCAGGACTCAGCAACTTGCAGGAGCTTGACCTGTGGTTGAACTTGCTCAGTGAGATGCCTGCTGAAGTCTTCTCAGGGCTCAGAAAGTTGCAAGATCTCAACCTGGGGACCAACAAGCTCAGTAAGTTGCCTGCCGAAGTGTGGGCTCATCTCTTCGCAGGTCTTAGCAACTTGCGGAAGCTGAACCTGTGGTCCAACAAACTCGGGGAGTTGCCTTCTGAAGTCTGGTCCAAATCATTTGCAAGGCTCAGCCACTTGCAGGAGCTTTACTTGGGCGGAAACGATCTCAGTAAGCTGCCTGGAGATGTGTTTTCCGGGCTCGGCAACCTGCGAAAACTTGTCCTCGATGGGGTGCAGGCTGAACGAGTTGCCTCCTGAAGTCTGGGATCATCTGTTTACGGGGCTCAACAACTTGCAGAAGCTATACTTGGGTGGAAACGATCTCAGTGAGTTGACTGCCGAAGTGTGGGCCCATCTCTTCGCAGGTCTTACCAACTTGCAGCAGCTGAACCTGAGGTCCAACAAACTCGGCGAGTTGCCTTCTAAAGTCTGGTCCAAATCGTTTGCAGGGCTCAGCCACTTGAAGGAGCTTTACTTGGGCGGAAACGATCTCAGCAAGTTGCATGCTGAAGCCTTTTCCACGCTGGGCAACCTGCGAAAACTTGTCCTCGATAGGTGCAGGCTGAATGAGTTACCTGTCGAAGTCTGGGATCATCTCTTCGCAGGGCTCGACAACTTGCAGGTGCTCATGCTGCATGACAACAAACTCGGCGAGTTACCCGCTGAAGTCTGGCCCAATATGTTTTCAGGGCTCGGAAGTCTGCAAGAGCTTTGGCTGGACGAGAATGATCTCAGTGAGTTGCCCGCAATTTGTTCGGCTATAAAGTGCGTCAACTGGTGAGATGGTCGACTGAGATGTCCGGCTATGCGGATGAAGGATTCCTTGTTTGTTTCGGCGAAAACGATGGGGTGCTCTGCCATCTGCCCGCTTGATAGGGTTGTGGCTAGGACTGATTCCTGGGTATAGATCACACAGTCAAGCGAGGAGATTTCACATTTCACCCACTTCCAACAACCCCTTTGAATCTAGTTGCAATGCATTTCATATGGTTTGTCCATGTTTGTCCTCATGATATTTATTGCATTCTATTCTTGTTTCGTTATTTTTTGAGGCGTTTTGAGAGTAGCACCTGCATTGGGCGACCAAGGTCCAAGGTGGCAGTGGCACCTGGCGCGCAACTGGAGAGACGTTCGCACACCGAGGCATCGGAATGTCCAGTCGAAGTCATCACAGGTATCAAAGTCTTCAGTCGAAGTCTTCATGAAGCTTTCGGTTCTGGTGTGATCTGTAAGTTTTCAACCTCCATTGTTGGGATGTCTTCCCGGGTATTTGCGGCTTGCCTTTGCTTGGAAACTCGTTTTCAGTCTTTGTAGGGTTCAAGATTGGCCCTCTTGTGGTGAAAGACATCCAACAAGAAAAAGACAGTCTGAAGGGAGCAGAACAGAAGTTGTTTGTTTGAAAAACGTTGAAAGAAGCCGCTGAGACAGGTGTAACCAATGTGTCCACCGCATGAAGTGCTGAGTGCTGCCATTCGGCACGCTGCGCCTTGGACCAGGCACCACTGGCTCCAAATGGGAACATCACGCCGAGAATTTTCGAGTTTCGACAAGTTGTGGGTGTATGGCCATTTCTTTTAAGAACATGACAACAACATCATACAACATCAAACAACATAACACCAGAAACACCATTTGAATCCAGAATCTGGTGGGGTCGATCCACTGGGTCAAAATCCATGACTTAGCTTGGAAAAAGGTGCCTGGACTTGACCCTGAAAGATCTCAAATGTTTTGGATTGTTTTGGTGCATCACTTGAGGAAAGCGATGCAGATAGTGACAATTGCCAGGGTTTCTACCATGGAGGATGATGCAGCAAGGGTTAGGGTTTATCCATGTACACGCTTACAACATCTTATCAATGCCAAAACTTGTATGGAAGTTCAGCACCTTCAAGTTGAGATGGTTTCCATTGTTTGGGGTGTTTACACCACTCAATGTGTGGAAAGGACAACCATGTGACTATTCCGCAAGCTGCTCCGTATTACCAGCTTTTCGCATGTGTACACACCATTACACAACTTGTGTGGGGATTCCGATATTTAGACACCAGTCATATCCTGATAAAGGGCGCCTTATCCAAAAGTCTCCCGTTTGCTGGGACTATGTCCCCGAAATGGGCTTCGCATGTGGAAAAGGATGAGCCTGGCTTCATCCCAGCGCTGCAGGAAAAACTCACTGCAGCGGCCCGAACGCCCAGCACTGCGCGATTGACGAGTTTCGAGAGTCGTGGGGTGAGGACATGGCCAGGGATTTAGAATGATTTCGAGTTGATACCAATTGACATACTACTAGTAACACGAGTTTTCATCATGAAAAGCAACGAGATTATGACCTTGATTATCATTGGCAGCAACATTTCTGGAACATCTGGAAGATTGCATACATTCCCATCATCTTTCAAGCACTATGCGGCCCATGGATTTTGGACAGGTCAACTGCATTGAGAGACAACGATTTTCCGAATTTCGGTTGAGGCTCGGTATTCCAAGAGAAACCCGGGTCCACCTTCCCTGTCCCAGAGAGATGTTGAGGCCCTCCTTTGGTTGTGAAACCTGGTGATAGGAAATCCTGCTTTTACAGTTGACTTTCCTATTGAAACATTGGGTTTTCACGGCCAGGCTACGCTATTGGAGGATGTACATGTCAGAAGTTGGATTATAGATGATCATAATATGACTTAACACAGAATTTCTTTTGTTTTGTATCTTTAGGATCCTGTAGAATCCTTTAGGGTTCAGGGGTGAAACGAACTCAATGCCCATCATTTTGCTGTCAGTCGAAGAGCTGCAGGACTTCTCGGCCTTGGTCCTAGACGAGCGCGGAAACCAAGCATGAAATATTCTTGATGACGGATGTTCCATCGTCTAGCATAGATATATAATTATAATATCCTCCTTGGAAAAATCTCTATAAAATAGATCACCTGGGGGTACGATTCTATAGAGATGAGGCTGGTAGGCCAGTGTTTACTATAGAATGGTACCTGGATTGCGCCCATCCAGTTTACATACCCAAAAGGGACACCAAACTTGAGGCATTGCAAACCCAGTTTTCTATTCTATAGGGGGTCTTTTTCCTAATCACTTGGACTCAGGTTTTCATTCTATAGTGGATGATTTGTTTTGACGCGGTGGGTATGAGGCTGGGTTTTCATTTTATAGGAGTGGAAGGGGAGGCGTCAGTGGGCAATAATATTGTAAATATTTGTAAATGTTGTATGATATTGTAAAATATTGACACATACTGCAAACAAATAAGTAATCAACACTGTTAACGAATCAGTTTTGTGCAGGGCTGCTCCATTAAAATGGAAATCCAACCCCCCTCTGTAAAATAGTCACCAAGTATATTCTTTTGTGGAATGGTGCCAGCCCAGATCCAAAAAGTGAAACAAAACTTAAGGCATTGCAAACCCAGTTTTCTATTCTATAGGGGGTCTTTTTCCTAATCACTTGGACCATTGGACTCAGGTTTTCATTCTATAGTGGATTATTTGTTAGAAGCGGTGGGTATGAGGCTGGGTTTTCATTTTATAGGAGTGGAAGGGGAGGTGTCAGTGGGCAATAATATTGTAAATGCTGTATGATATTGTAAAATATTGACACATACTGCAAACGAATAAGTAATCAACACTGTTAACGAATCAGTTTTGTGCAGGGCTGCTCCTTTAAAATGGAAATCCAACCCCCCTCTGTAAAATAGTCACCAAGTATATTCTTTTGTGGAATGGTGCCAGCCCAGATCCAAAAAGTGAAACAAAACTTAAGGCATTGCAAACCCAGTTTTCTATTCTATAGGGGGTCTTTTTCCTAATCACTTGGACCATTGGACTCAGGTTTTCATTCTATAGTGGATTATTTGTTAGAAGCGGTGGGTATGAGGCTGGGTTTTCATTTTATAGGAGTGGAAGGGGAGGTGTCAGTGGGCAATAATATTGTAAATGCTGTATGATATTGTAAAATATTGACACATACTGCAAACGAATAAGTAATCAACACTGTTAACGAATCAGTTTTGTGCAGGGCTGCTCCTTTAAAATGGAAATCCAACCCCCCTCTGTAAAATAGTCACCAAGTATATTCTTTTGTGGAATGGTGCCAGCCCAGATCCAAAAAGTGAAACAAAACTTAAGGCATTGCAAACCCAGGTTTCTATTCTATAGGGGGTCTTTTTCCTAATCACTTGGACCATTGGACTTAGGTTTTCATTCTATAGTGGATTATTTGTTAGAAGCGGTGGGTATGAGGCTGGGTTTTCATTTTATAGGAGTGGAAGGGGAGGTGTCAGTGGGCAATAATATTGTAAATGCTGTATGATACTGTAAAATATTGACACATACTGCAAACAAATAAGTAATCAACACGGTTAACGAATCAGTTTTGTGCAGGGCTGCTCCTTTAAAATGGAAATCCAACCCCCCTCTTTAAAATAGTCACCAAGTATATTCTTTTGCGGAATGGTGCCAGCCCAGATCCAAAAAGTGAAACAACACTTAAGGCATTGCAAACCCAGGTTTCTATTCTATAGGGGGTCTTTTTCCTAATCACTTGGACCATTGGACTCAGGTTTTCATTCTATAGTGGATGATTTGTTAGAAGCGGTGAGTATGAGGCTGGGTTTTCATTTTATAGGAGTGGAAGGGGAGGTGTCAGTGGGCAATAATATTGTAAATGCTGTATGATACTGTAAAATATTGACACTTACTGCATACGAATAAGTAATCAACACTGTTAACGAATCAGTTTTGTGCAGGGCTGCTCCTTTAAAATGGAAATCCAACCCCCCTCTTTAAAATAGTCACCAAGTATATTCTTTTGCGGAATCGTGCCAGCCCAGATCCAAAAAGTGAAGCAAAACTTAAGGCATTGCAAACCCAGTGTTCTATTCTATAGGGGGTCTTTTTCCTAATCACTTGGACCATTGGACTCAGGTTTTCATTCTATAGTGGATGATTTGTTAGAAGCGGTGGGTATGAGGCTGGGTTTTCATTTTATAGGAGTGGAAGGGGAGGTGTCAGTGGGCAATAATATTGTAAATGCTGTATGATATTGTAAAATATTGACACATACTGCAAACGAATAAGTAATCAACACTGTTAACGAATCAGTTTTGTGCAGGGCTGCTCCATTAAAATGGAAATCCAACCCCCCTCTATAAAATAGTCACCAAGTATATTCTTTCGTGGAATGGTGCCAGCCCAGATCCAAAAAGTGAAACAAAACTTAAGGCATTGCAAACCCAGTTTTCTATTCTATAGGGGGTCTTTTTCCTAATCACTTGGACCATTGGACTCAGGTTTTCATTCTATAGTGGATTATCTGTTAGAAGCAGTGGCCAGTATGATGCTGGGTTTTCATTTTATAGGAGTGGCAGGGGGCTGTTGGCTTTCTTGGGTTTCTATTCTATAGGGAAAATCCCCCCCCCTTAGTCCTGGGTTTGCGTTTTAGTCCCTATAGAATGGAACCCCCAGGTTTGGTTCGAATTCCAACAGGGATATTATAATATTGTATAGTACATTTGAACATCCAGTGTTGCTATTTGGACATAGCTTGCTTTCGAAGGAGTTCTGCAAAGTGGTTGTGGTTCTTTTCCTTGACCGTGTGGGCCGTGTTTACTGCGTTGGTTCTTTTGGAGGTGCTGCCCAACTTGTGTCTCCGCAGCTTCCTTTCAAGACGGACCTGCGCTGCATCTGCATTCTGCGGTACCACTCATCTTGACATGAAACCCTGGCCAGCCTGATCAACAAACAGCCAAATCTCATGTTGCGCAAGAGCAAGTCTTTGATAAACCATCGATATTAAACCTGTGTATTGTTCCAGACTGCACTGAATTCGTGCCGCTGGACAGCGCAAAGGATTCGCTGCCTCATGTCGGTCTCTCTGGATATTCCTGGACATGGTTACTTTGATATCAAACTGACTGCTTCGAGCACCGCTGCTGACATTATTTTACTGCTACGTGAGCGTTTGCCAGACAGCCCATGGCATGGGAACAAGTTGCTATCAAGTGGGGTCTGCCAGCTACAGTGCGATGACATTGTGGAGGCAACCCGCCACAGCACTTTAGTCTTGACAAACTACTCAGAGATCACCAGCCAGGAGAGAAACCTGCAGCTTTGTTTCTTTTTCAATAGGTAATGCAGACCATGCCAAGTAGCAAATCGCGATTAGAAACTAAATGCCAACAAGTACCAATTGCGACAAGTGCAGCAGTGTGATGGGCCGATTCATTTTTTGTTTTGGGATTCAGTGGTTTAAACGTTCGAACGTGGCTTGTGAGATCTACTTGATAGTGGGGGAACAGTCGGCCACTGAACAGGCGCCTTTGTGCATTGAGACCATGTGAAACAAAGGCAATTTAACCGATAGGATCAAATCGAATAAAGAGAAACCGTATTTAAAAGTCAATCGTTTGAAATTCAGAGATTGCAGGCCCATGATTCCCATGATTGCACCTTTTGAGGGTACTGCATAATGCTTTTTGAATTCCATTCCAATTTCATTTGCTGCAATTGTTGGTGGACCTGTCGAAGGAGCCTTTCTGCATCGAAGATACTGCAGAGCGAGGGATCACTCGCGAACAATTGGCAAAGATTGTTGTTTTCATCTCCAAGATGGCTGACAGATGGTGCGAGACTTTCGGAGAACAACGTGGGACAAGGCTGCAGTTTGAGACGTTCAACTTGTATGATGCGAATCATTGGATCATCAAACCAGCCACCGAAGCCTGGATTTGTTGATGATGTAACAACATTTTCCAATTGGAAGAATCTCATGTTTTTCTTTTTTTAATTGGCAAAATTATGCAAATCCCAGGACGGCTATGCGAAAAAGGGCTGCAGCATGGTAGAGCTCATGGCGATTCAAGTGCAGAGACCTCACTGGTTTGTGTCGCATGCTTGGATCGAGCCTTGGTTGATAGGCAAACTCTCAAGCTTGTTTGAGACCGTGCTATTGCATTGTCTGTCGGCAACAAGTTACTTGTTCTGCTAATAATTCACATTCCCCTAGAAGCCTTGGTTGAGTTTTGGACTTGTTCATTTCGGACCCTCAATAGGATGCTGTATCAAAAAGAAATGAACATCGAGCGTAATGATAGATGAAAGTCAATCTATTGCTTTGAAGCACGTCCAATTTTGTGTTGGGCAGATCTGTGAGGAGCCTGTTTGTAAGTTTCTGGCCTGCTTGGAGCAGCATGCTCTGGTGCGAGAACTCTCAAGCAGTACATTCTATTGGGTCTGTGCATATGCCAATAACCAGCACTGCGTGGAAGAGGATATCAAAAGCAATCCACGCAGCACTTCATTCTACAGAGCTATGCAGATGTCTGAGGGAGTTCTTTTGGGTGCAGCTATCTGGACAACCTCCGCGCGGTGGCTGCGGGTCTATGCATTGCTGATGGGCCTTGGCAGTGCTTAGAAACGAATTGTTCAGATGTGGTGCTTGCAAGTTTCGATTTGCTTCAGAAGACTTGGGCTGTGTCTTCAAAAGAGCGGAACGCATTGATGCATGCCATGCATGGCAATGGTGCAGGAAGCAGAGCAACAGCTCGCAAAAGGAAACAGAAACAAAGCAATAACCAAGCAAATGGCTTCAATTTGCAACAAGCAGGTGAGATTCTCAAACTACTCTCTCAGCTTTTCCAATTGTTGGGACTCGGGGGTGGCGGTGGGAATTTGCTTCAACAGCTCAGTGCTATGATGGGCCATGGCGGGTGTGCCAAACCCAAGAAGACTAAGAACAAGAACAAAAATAAACAGGGCGGTGATGGTGGTCTGGGGGATTACGGCCAAGGGGGTGGTTTTTACCCTTCTTCTCCTCCTACTCAGCCTCCGCAGAATACTTCGAAACCACATCCTAAGCAAAAGGCGGACGTCCAAAAACAGCCACACACAGAGCAGCAGCTCCACAAAACGCCCAAGACCTTTGCTGAAGTGGTTCGAGCCAACACTGCGTTTAAGCCGGTGTGGAGCCTGCGTCAGTCAGACTGGACGGGGCCCATTTTGGGCTTTGATGACTTTTGTGTCGCACTGGATAAGCCTGGAAATATTTCAGCTACAGTGCAAGTGAACTCGGAAGAGCAACTTGAGGAGTTGCAGGTTTTGCTGAAAGGCGATTCCCCTGATATCAAAAGAGAGCTCAACATCACAGCTGTGATGCTAGCGCCGAAAGAGGCCAAGCAGACTGAGGATCGACCTTTGCGGATGGTGCCAGGAAAGATCTCGGGCAAGGTGCAGCCCAGGCAGGCGTTTGTGATCCCACTTCAAGGCCAAGGGCCATCACTCAAGAGAGCTGCCGTTGTGTCAGCGGCTCCTGCAGTGCAGCCTGAAACTGTTGTAGTGAGATTAAGTGTTGATGCAAAATATTTGCAAAACAACGAGTGGCAGAGCATCCAGGCCAAGCCAAAGGCAAACGCGCAGGCTTGGTTGCATCGGCATGTTCCAGAGCATGTTGCGGACAAAGTCTTTGATATGTGGGCGTTTCAGCAAGAAAGCATGAAAGGCGGAGGCAAGCCAGTGATCACTGGCCTTTTACGCATTGAGCGAAGTGCTGCCAAAGCTCTTCTAGGCTGCTCAGGCAAAAGTACCTGGTTTGTGGAGCCTTTGCAATGGAACAACTCCGTGATTGAATCTTGCGATGTTGAGTGGGTCAAGAAAAGTTCGGAACTTGATGGGCCCAGCTACTTGCAGAAGGTTCAGTCCATGGCTGGTGACCTGGGCATTGCCCGGGGATGGAATGGACTGGGAGTACGTAAGCCCAGGAGCGCCGAGCCTCCTCCTAAGGCCAGAGCTTGGCGCGTCACTGGTGTTCCGCGAGATTGGGCGGCTAGTACCTTGACTCAGGAACTTACACGTGCTGGCCTGACTGAACTCAAGGTGTTGTCCCGGAAAACTGTGGGCAAACAAGTGGAATGGTGGGTGCAGGCCAATGCTCAAAAGGATATGGATTTCATTGAAATTCAGGCTGGCGAAAAAGTCATTGTAGCTGTTGAAGCTCCAAGACAAAGACGGCAGAGAACACATACCATGAAACTGGCTAGCAATGGAAGGGTCAGTTATAACCAGAGCCATGCATGGCAGGCGATTGCCACGCCTGCTCCTCGCAAATCTTTCTACATGGGAACGCCAGTCAAAAAGCCAGTGACTATTGCAGGGGCTGAGAAGGTTCCTGCTGAGAATTTGGACGAGGACAAGTCGGACGCAAAGATGGACAATGCTGGAGAACCCGCTGGGGCAAAAAGAACTGTCAGTACTCCTGAAAAGAGTCCTCCGGCCAAGCGTGTTGCGGGGGAACCCAAGCCCCCTCACAATATGAAGGTGAAAAGCATCCCTGCTGACGGCAACTGTCTTTTTGAAGCCCTTGCTCAAAGTTTGGGCGGAAAAACAGCCAGGAATGTGCGTGCAAGCGTTGTCACCCACCTGACCAAGCACCAGGGTCGTTACAAGCCCTGGTGGGACGGCAAGGAGCCAACAGAGGCGGAGAATGCTTGCGAATCATGGGAGAGCTATCTCACCATGCTCTCAAAGATTGGTGCTTGGGGCAGTGCTCTTGAAGTTTCTGCTGCGGCTGTGCACTACGATCGCCCGATCATTGTCTTCCAGCCTCGTGGGGTTCCGGAGATTTACAATGGTCGTGGCAAGGGTGGTGCTCCCATCGCTTTGTGGTTTCGTTCAAAGCACTATGAACGACTTGAAGGTGCTTTCCCTCCTGAAGTTTTGACTCAGGCCGCAAATGGTCCAATGCAGGGCAACAGAGGTGGAGGATCGGAATGTGGCGCTACTTCAGTTGGTGCCACCAGATTGTCAGCTTTGCCGTCACTGGTTCATAGCAACAATAAACGTGGAAGGTGTGCTAGCCCCGCGCCCGCCTCTACTTTGTCAGAGCAGCGCAAGAATTCTTCTTCCCCTGCGGCTGCTACTTCGGGTCGGGGTCCGTGCACGCCACGTGCAGCCAGTGAAGGACAAGACGCAGCCAGTGCTTCGTCCAGACGCACTAAGCGTACTGAGTGGACATGCCCTTTGTGTGACTTTTCCACTGGGGGGTGCAAAGGATGGGTTGACAAGAAGAGAGCTCATATCAATGCTTGGCATCCCGATGAGAAGGAACAGTTGAAAATCGGCTTCAAAAACACGTTGCCTGCGCTGTCTGCGGTCAAGAAGGGAGGAGTCTATAGCTGGAAGTGTCCTGTTTGCAAACTTGGCTTGTCCGCTGATCACAACCTCAAACCTGGCCAAGTGTACAGCGTCATCCGCAAGCATAGGGAAGACAAACATCCTCAGGCGGATGCCAAGCTCTTCCACAAGGACAGCAGCTTCAGACGGGAGAATGCTAGCAAAGCCACGCGCCAGGTGCGTGCAGCTGCAGTGGCTCGAAGGTTGCTTGGCTTCAAGCGTGGCGATGCTGGAGCACATGACCCCACTTTCGTTACCATTCCAGCCACAGGAAATGGCAAACAGAAAAGAGTTGGAATGTCTTACGTCATTTGCAAAACTTGTGGCAGTATGGCTTTGACAGCGAAGCGTTTGGCAAAGATTGCTTGTGAACAGTATGCTTCCAGCAAAGGGCCCAAACGAAAGCAGTTGGTGGAAAGATTGCGTGCGTGCCTCAAAAATGCAGACATCAGCGATGACCTCAAGAAGGGTGCCCGCACAGTTTTGGAAATCATCGACTCTGGAGCATTTCGCACCACTGATACTGCAGCAGACAGCACGCATCAGATTGAGGCCATTGTGTGGCCTGCCAATTTTACGGTGCGTTTTGCTTGTGTGCATTGCAAGCGTTGTGTCAACAACATCAGACGGCTTACAGGAAGTCAGTGTCCTCGTAAAATGGTTTGGACTAAGTTTCGAAAGGGCCAGAGGGATATTTTGGTGCCTCTTGCGGCTCAGGCTCCAAGTGCCAGACAGCGAGCTGCTTCGCGAGCTTTGGACATTTTGGGATTGCAGCAGGATGGCGCTGTGGATCAGAACCCATGACGGGCTCTGACAGCACTATGCGGTTTGGGGACTATGAATGTACAGTCCTTGGGAGGCCGCTTGGGTGGTGTGCTTGACTTTGCTCAGCTCCAGAATTTACATGTTCTGTGTCTTCAAGAAACTAGAGTTAACAATCACAGCTGGAATGCTGTGACTCGTGCCGTCAAGGCACGCGGGTGGCAACTTTTTCCTGGCCCTCAAGGAAGAAATTCGAAAAATGTAGTGGAAGGTGGTACATTGGTTCTAACAAAGTGGCCTGCTGAGGCCTTGGCCCTTCCTGTCGACATGGTGTCTGTGGAAAGATCCATGGCCGTCAAACTCTATAGACCTCAGCAAAGGCCGTTGATTCTCATCAATGTTTACTTACATGCTTCAGATCGCACAGCTGCCAGCCGTGCGCTGGGTGCGCTGTTCGAGTTTGTTGCTGCTTGTGGTGAAGATACAGTGATCATGGGTGACTTCAATTTGGAAATTCATTGTTGGCCAATTTCTAACGTTTTGGCTACTGGACAGTGGCGGTCCTGTGATGAGCTGGTTTGCGGAGATCGTGTTTTAGGTGGTACACATCGAACTGCTGCAGGTGTTTATACAGGTGTGGTCATTGACTATGGCTTGTGCACTCCTCGGTTAATTATTACTGGTAGGGAGCAACATCTTGGCGTGGCTGACCATGACGCGGTGGTTTACAACTTGCATGTGCCTGGTTCATTATCCACACCGTGGACTCTCCCAGTTGGTGCCCCTTTGCATTCTGAAAAGGTCGCTGAAGCTTCTTGGCTAAGTGCTTGGGAAGAAGTATGTGACGATTTTGGAAATGCATTGAGTACAGGCAACGTGGACTCTGCTTGGACCTTACTTAGCAACTGCGCAGAATCTCTTCTTCTCGCACGTGGCAAAACTGGTCGTGCTATGCGCCAGGGCCCGCAGCAAATTGCCAGTCCTCCGTCTTCAAAAGCGCCTTCTTTGCAAACAGTGAAAGAGCGCAAGCTCAGACGCTTCGCACGAAGAGTGGTGGAG